GTCAAGTTTATTTATTACGGAACGAGAAAAAAAAATACTATCACAAATGATTAGCATAAAACAAAACTGACTGCGGAACACAGAAGAAACTAAAAATGACATAGCGACAGTGATATCAGATAACGTTATAATCATTTATAATCCAGTTTCTTAATTTCCAATAGGGCTTATTCTTTCATTATTCATAGTGTATTCTTTTTGTGTTTAGTATTAATGTAATTAACCAACTGAGCATTCTTTTCCAAATTAAAATCCTTCAAAATGGAAGTTAATTTTTAGAAGTAGTGCATGTGTATTGCCGTGTGGGTTATTCCTCTTTTCCGTGCCCTTAAGTGCCTTCGAATAAGCCTTAAGTGTGAGTTAATAATGGGAGTCATCCCCGATTAATCTGAAGGTGAATATAATCTTCATTCTCCCTTTAATATTTATACTTTATGAACTCCATTACCCATTTAATTGCAAGGAAATTAGCTCCGAACTTTTGTCATAATAAGTAATTTAAATTCGCATCACACGAAGCAACAAAAATACAAAAATGATAAATATTTTTTTTCGCTCAAAAGAGAAATGTCTTTGACGTCTGGTTTCCAGCTGCATATTAAAACTCTTTTCATGACGCAGCAGTACATCGAAAGTGTAAGCTTAAAGCACTACAACACACCGTAAAAAAGACACTCGTATCTTCAAGGAGATTTCCGAGATGCTGAGGGTACTGAAATATTTATATTACCAGCAGGAAGTAGGAATTTTATGCTGATGTACGCTTTTTGAAGAACAAGTTCTTTTGATGTCTCGTTTCTTTCGCTGTTCTTCGCATGAGTTTTCCGCTTCAGCGATTTAGCGAAGCACTGGATGGGATTTGCGGCGAATAAAATTAGTGATGAAAGATCAAGATGTCGTGATTTGTTTCTAGAGCTGTTATATTTCAGATTATATTTTGAGTTTATGTCTTCTTCTTCTGCATTCCAGATAAAATAAGGTTATAATCCTGCTTTAAATAAGGGTTAATGACAAAATTATACATTGAATCTTTCTTCTTTCTTGTGTTATTTGCTTATAAAGGACAAACACTAAATTTATTTTGTTTAATGTTATATTGCAAATTTTTTTTTCAACCTAAGGACTTCTAGGGATTATAAAAGAAAATGTAGTGTAATTCCAAAAGCATGAATTTTTATTTTTAAGTAAAAAAATGTTTCATAATAAATTTTAAATAACCGATACAGCTTCTTAGATTTTATTACTGGCTAAATAACTGAATATTATCTTATTTAAAAAATTTATTAATTAATCAATTGAAAAAGAATTATTTTAGATTTTAAATTAGTTAAATGCATTTTTATTACTCTTTTATTTGATCCACCTAATTGTTTTTTTTTATTTCCTTGAACGATCGCGAAAAATTTTGGATATCATATTTCAACGAAAATATCTCTTTTGACCCTAGTTGAATCTATATGAGCGATATTTTTACGTGACACTTGTACGTACGGACATAGTAATTCCCAAGAAGGAATTTAAAATGGATTTAAAATGAATTCAGAAGTGAATGTTTTCGTGAAAACTGTCCGTACGTATGTATCTCGCATAATTCAAAAACGAGTAGCCCCAGAACATTGAAATTTTGTATAAGGACCTACTATAATATGTAGTTGTGCACCTTCCTCTTTGGATGCAATCGACTGCACAAACGTATATATATATATATATATATATATACACCCACTCTGTTACTCGGCTCGGTGAGCTCAGTTTTTTTATTCCTATATGTTGGTAAAGTGTGCATTTTTTGTTTAATTTAAAAGTGATTGAATTATGTTGTTCTTATGCTCCAGTTAAGTTTTTATGCTTTTAGTTAATCTGCATGTAATAGCTACAGAATTATTAACAAGTTGAAAATTCTTTAAGTGTAACTAAACATAATGAGGCCGCAATCTGTACTTTTAGTAGAATAGTTGAATTAAGTCAGTTTGGCTCCAACTTCAGGGTCTATTTTCGGAATGAAACTTAAAAGTAAAGTTTCGATTTTGTGCACCGAAAAATCTGTCTTCCTGCCCGATTCCATGTTTGGGCGTAGAATAATTTTAATTGTAAAAACTGTTTTTTGAACTGCTTTTAACTTCATTTGGTGTTTTAGGTTTTTCTGTATTTTACAATTTTAAATAAAGATGTTTCGAGATTTTATGTATTTTTCCCTCACCACGAAATGAGAACTTAATTAATTGAATGAGAAATATATTTCTAACTAGCCGCTATGCGGCCAGCCTTCGTACCAGAAAACCGCTTTTAAACGTACTGGAAAAATGCCTAAAAGACACACCTGGGACCGATGGCTGCGTAAGTTCTTCTAACTTTTTTCTCTTTGTTGAGATTCCAACCCTCCCTTGCATACGGCTCTGATGTATCTCCAGAAAAACATATACATCTTATTAAATTGATTGGAGGTTAAGAACTTTGTTTCCTAAAAAAATCACTCAAAACTTTTCAATGTCTTAAAAACAGTGAAATGAGCAATAAATAACATAAAATAATACAAAAAACAAAAAATTCTGAAAAGCAAAGTATAATTAATGATATTTTATCTTATATTTTCAAGAGAAAAAAATTACGATGAAATAAGCTATATCCTTTAATACAAATATTAATTATCCTAATTAAAAAATTAACCAACTTCTGTTGAAGAAAAAAAATCATACAAAACTTTTCAATATCTTACAACAGTGAAATAAGCACAAAATAACATAAGAAACTCAAAAAACAAAAACTTCCGCGCAGAATTTTACTCTGCAGAACAACCATATAAAAAAATCAATAAAAATGTATTATATATATAAAAAATGACAATGAAATATGCCAATCTCTTAAAAACAGTGACATAAGAAATACGATGAAAAATTGTTGCCAAACCCATATTTCTAAAAGAATGAATCTATTCAAAATAATGCGATTTCATCAAAAATCTATCAACAACAATAAGAAAGGAAAATTGTCACCTTTAAAGATGTGAGATGTGAGAAGTGTACTCGGAAGCTTCATTTAATTTTTTTAAATACAAAATATTATCATTTTTCCAAAATTCTTTTTGTAAAAGCAGTCGCAGGGATGAAAGTTGAACGTGTCTAAAAATCAAAGAAAAATAAACTGTACATTTTTAAAAATACACTTTTTTAGAAAAAATCCCGTTGAAAAGGCGTTAAACTCACTTTGTTAAATAAATTCGTATTTAATCGATTTATTGAAACACGAAATTTATTTTAAGTAAAATAGCTAAGTGCCTACGTTTCATGACAATGAGAAAATGGAGTGTGTAGAGTAAAATATCGCTTTCCTATAGCCCATTATGTCTCAAAATGACGCGATTTCGTCACAAAACATAAAATAAAAAAATTCGAATTTCGAAAACAATCGCTTCGACGTGCACTGGCTCTTGTCTAGATACACCTATGTACCAAATTTCGTAGCCGTGGGTCTATTAGCTTACACGCAAGCGCGAACGAAAGACACACACACAGACAGACTCTTGTAGAGAAGAGATGAAATTCGAGAAAATAAGTTCAAATGAAATGCAACAAAAATATGTATAATTTAATAGGTCTTACAAGGAAGTCACGTGGTGTCCACATCAGGTTTTTTATAAATAAATGAAACTATGCATACCTTTTGAATAACCTCTTGCCTTGATACTTCATATTTAACTGACATCAGACTTTACCTGCGAGCTTTCAAATGAAATGTGCTAAATCGGATATACATTTCAAATCTTAAACTATCCCGCATGCAATTTAGACAGTGTTCTTACTTGCCTGGAAAATCCTGAATGTTAAAAATTTCAAAGACTCAAAGGAATCTGTTATAAAATATCAGGGAGGTTAAAAAACTACATTGGTAAACCCTTTCGAATAACGAAAGTTCATATTTTCAGTTGTACGTATAAATTATAACCAGCATTGCTTTATCTTAAAAAAGAAAGTAAAAAAGCAGTTACTGTAACTTTTTGTTTCTTGCGCAATTATTATTTCACTCAGCCTCGTTTTTGGCGCAGCTATTATTTCACTCACACAGTTCATTCATTTGAAAAAAATCTGTGAAACTATAACCACTTGCTTATCAGCTGTTTTCAGTCTTCTCTTTAGAAATGTATCGAACTTTTATAAATTGCACCACCTTAAAGTATGTGGTTTTTCACAACAGCGTTCTTTTAGTACTGATCATTACCACATTCATTAAACTAGGTATAGATGCTATTTAAACCGAAGGTATAAAGCTCATATTAAAAGTATTACATTCCTGCATTGCCTTAATAAAAATTATATTATTGTTAAATGACTATAATCTTTCTGTGGCACACAAATTCTGAATGAAGCATTTTATGCACATTTGTTGAAATTTGGTATATTTTTCCTGGACGATTGGACCCCAAAATTCCTAAATATTGGGTACCCGTGAGTGATTTAAAATTCTACTAAGTAAATAAACATCTACAAATTAGAGATTAATTTGGAGTAACCTACAATAACATTTATGTAAGAAACAGTAAGGACAAGGAGCTAGTTTTGCAATTCCTCTAAGTACATTTTTTAATGAATTTCATTGAATTATTAAAGAGTGCACACAAATAATTACCTTTAGTGTTTCTCCACTTGTACGCTCACACCTTGATAGTGGAACAGATGAATATCGTCTCGGATGAGAATGAAACAACAGTATTTGTTGCATATGAACAAAGAATGGCAAATATAAAAATATTTCAATTTTTAATAGCAAGTTATTTCCTTCAAAACAACAACAGTTTCAATCAAACGCTAAGGCCATTTATAAAACGATAAGTTATTTAACGAAGGTCATTGAAAGAGAAATAGCACCTTTTCATAATTGCAATGACAAAAAAAAAAAAAAAAAAAAAAAAAAAAAAAAAAAAGAATTTCTGTATTTAAGCGTTATAAAAATAGTCAAATATAAAAAACGTTTAGCAAATTTTTGAACGATAAAAAAACACGAACATGTCGTGGAAGTGGAGTCCACAAAGTAAGATAATTGATCATGAAATAAGTGAAAGGAAGTTCATCGATAAAATGCATTTATCTGTCTGTGAAATTGTTCGAAATTTAAAGATATCAAAAATAACACTTTATTAAATGGAAGAAAACCTGAGCTTGAAACTGTATGTTAAACAAGCACCACTAAAATGTAAAAAGGTCAAGAAACTCGAGCAAAACAAATTTCCTTAGAGATATTAGGTATTCTGGAAGCAGGAAAGATGAAAAATATGCAACGCTTTCGCCGGGAATCGAACCATGGATCACTGGAATACGCGCCCAGCGTGCAGACCGCCACACCACGAAGGCACGCTAAGAAAGCGGGAGAAATACCTTATAACCTTATTTTTTAAACCAGTTTCTCGGGACTGACTGAGCCTATTGGTCATTTTGTTGTCTTTCGTTAAAAGCCTTGTCCCGAGTGCCTCACAGGCGACTGATTTTGCACCACCAGAGGGAAGAGGTGGTATATACCTATATGTCTTCTGTGGGGCCCAAGCCAAACGCTATTTCAGCCAACTCCCGTATCACCATGCTGAAGAATGCAGCATTTCTTTAAAATTTGTAAGCAACTTATAAAGTATTTCTCCCGCCTTCTTAGCATGCCTTCGTAGTGAAGTGGTCAGCAGGCTCGACGCGTATTTGAGAGGTCAGTGGTTCGAGTCCCGGCAACGGAATTGCTTATTTTTTATGACTCCTGCTTCAAAAATATCCTAAAGACTCTGCAAACTGAAGCCAGAAAATTGCAGATAACAGCAACAAACAGACTTTAATCGAATAATATCCCAAGCTAGAACTATTAAAAGCTATAGGGGCATTAGTAGAAGCAAGTATTTAGATGAAAAAAAATAGAGCTTAAAATATTTATAATTCAAAAGTATTTATCTTCTGCTAATATTCTCCAATTTTTTAAACATACAGTACTAGCCTGTATGAAAAGAGCCAGAGTATATCTTTTTAAGCTATAGCAAAAAAATTATTTTTTCAACAATTTAAACAAGCACTTTTAAATGAATCAGTTTGCTAATATTATGATGAAAGATTTAATTTTATATGAATTACAGTTTTCACTTTAAAAAATAACAAATTCTTCTCATTCTTTTCAGAGATGTTTTTATTAGAATGGATGCTACAAAAAACAAGCCACTATTACTTCACATATCAAAAGATTCTCCAATACAGTTCTATAAGTTTAGAATCAAAGCATCTGGAAGTACATGTAGAAATTTGCGCATATATTGGAAAAGCCATCTTCTCAGTTTTAAAAAGAACTTCTGGAAGCGGACGAGATGCAAATCGTATCCGCAACCGTACCGGAATACCCGCGCAGAAACGACCAAGAGTCGGATGAAATGTCCCGCATTTGAAAGTTAAAACAGGACGTTGTTCCTATAGAGTGAGAGGGTATATTTCAATGCCCACTTGAAACAAGGCAATGCTTTTGTATATAAAGGGAGAAGAACGTCTTCCTTTACATTTGACGCTATAGTTGCATTGAAGTTAAGAAGAAAGCATGCTAGCTGATCTTTTTTTTTCGCTCAAAGAGCGACAGTTACACATTTCATATATCAAAAGCTGGAACTTCTGTTGTCAAGATTTTTTTTAGCTTGTCATACTTTTTTTCTTTCATGAAAACGTTATTTTCGACGATATCAAGTAGAAGATTTTGACGTGGTGGTTGAATTTCTCACTCACTTTGAAGTTTCTGACGTGTTGCCTGAGGTATATTTAGTTTGTAATTTTTCCCAGGGTACCTATGAATGCACTCTTTATCAAAGGATATAAATTATATGCTTTTAGTCTCACATTTTATCCTTCCGATAGTAAACATGAATTTTAACAATAGGATTGATATTTTCTTTGAAATACAGAATAGCCGTTTTTAATGAATAAATTTCTTTTTTGCAGCAAAAGTTTACGAGGAATTGTAAGGTTTAAACTTGCTTCAGTTCGTGCAGCACTGGTGTTCTATGTTTCTACTCTTTTTACTATCTATAACTATTATTCATCTAACAAATCTAGACGTCATACTTCCCAAACGCAATTATTGTTTGAGGTTCAGATCCGACTGGAGCTGCTCGATGCTTAAATCTTTTGATTGTTTCTGTGATTCAAAATTAATTAAAAAGTATTTTAAAACTGTTGATTGTTTCTGTGATTAGGAGCAAATTAAAACAGATTTAAAACGTTTGATTGTTTTGTAATTAGAAACAAATTAAAATGGTTTTAAAAGTTGAGATAATTCTGTGATTAGAAGCAAATTAAAATAGGTTTAAAAAACTTTAAATCGTTTTTGTGATTATAATCAAATTAAAATATAATTAGATTTTTTTTTTTATTTTTATAGTTTGAAGTACATTAAAATGTATTTAAAGCTTTTTTATTGCCTCTGTGAATAGATCATTAACTCTACAAATAAAATAACAAATAAGTAAAAAATCACAATTAAAATTTACTTAGTGATCACTTGGGCTTATAATGGTTTAAATGTAAACTAAAATGCTACATTCCTTATAATAAAACAAACTACACAATGATATAAACTATCAAATTATCTACTTCACAATGATATAAACTATCAAATTATCTACTTATAGTATTAATGTTATCTCCAAATGTCAAAAGGAATTCGCACTTATGGAGCTGTTTTTGAACTTTTCATAACTTCATTTAAGTTTCATTTAAGTTTAAATTTCATGTATTACGACAGGTAATTCATGAACTTCAACAGCATGATTAAGCGCTTTTTCTCTATTAATACATTCCCAAAACAATAAGAGGAAAGATGTTTAAAATACATTTTTGATCTCTTTCACGTCATTTGTTAACGACTCATTTGCATACTTCAGAAGAGAATTTATAATTTGGAAATGATCATCAGCATAAATGAAATAAAAGAAAAAGTTTAAAATGCTAAAAACTTCACAACATTGTTTAATAAAAGTGTTATAATAATCAACATTTTCTCTGAACCAGTGTCGAAATGCTATTTCATTCTACGAAAATGATCCATATAACTTCTTCTGTTAGTGAAATTAATTTCTTTGAACTCTTTCAAATTCACAAGAATTTATCTGCTTTAGCTAATAATGCTAGTTCTAATCCAGTTCCTCTCAATGCTTTCAAAATTCTAATTAGCTTAATGTTTTTTGTGTTCCATAACTATTTTTCTAGATATATGAAGCTAAGTTCTTCATTTTACTCCGTCCTTTGCTTTCCACATAAAATGTTTGTCGTTTTTCCTACATTTTAGAATTTGTGTTTACTCCTGAAAACGTAAGCCCTATGCTTAAACATCCTCGAAATAGATAGACCTTTTTGGTGAAAAGCCTTCTCTATGTCTGCACAAAATGCAACTTTATGTACGCGAAATTTTAAAATTATATCCAACAAGTTAGGATTTAAATTAGGGCCTGATATGAAACATTCATTTAACGATTTAGCTCCTTCAGACTTAGAGGAGGCATCATAAACTATTCTTATTCTTCTTGTTACTTTTCCTTCACGTATAATGGGCCTATGAGGCATATAATAACAGTTAGGTTCATTTTCAACAAACTTACATTGTTCAACAATCCCCCTTTCAACTTGTTCTCTAATTATATTATCATATTCATTATATAGGAAATCATTTCCCTTTAATTTATGCTTTAGTCCTAGAAATCGTTGTTTAGCAACGAAAAAATTATCAGCGAGTTGTGATTTATTGTCCTTCCAAAAGAGTTTTGTTTCGTACCTGCCGTTATTAAATTTTAAACTGTCGTTAAAATGCTTAATAGTATCCAAATCAGTTTCCGAAAATGTTTTGTTTTCATTTTCAATTCCTATCGAATCCAATTTCCAAAATGACTGCAAATCAAATGTGTTTCCTTCAACGGTAGATAAAAACAACGCATTAAATCGAGTATTATTATTTTTTACTTTACCCATCACTGTGTATCCAACTATATACATCAAATTCTTGCGAGTTACCGCGCTGATTTCCAAACGAATAAATTGTTAGAGATTCTTTTCTAATGACTTGCAATTCCAAATCGCGCGCTAACTTGTGGGTGATGAAGTTTCGTTCACTACCTGAAGCACAAAAAAGGTATGACATGCGTCATTCTTCAAGTTCAAGCGTCAAGTGGTGTATTTTTCATCGGCGCGCATAAAGAGCGCCACCTAACTACCGAAAAGACGGAACACTTTTATTTAAAATCAACTTGATTTTTTTATGATTTCAAATGTTATTATATAATTTGTAACAAAGATCTATTGTTAAAAACAATAGGATTTTACAAAACAAGCACAGCGTCTATTTATTTCTCACCCATCTATTTCCACAAATTTCCCTTAGCTAACTTCTCCAAGCGCTCTGAGTAGAACGTTTTTAGTTAGGCAAATAGTCCTTACGAATCTTATCACAATCAAATAAAACCAAACCAAACTTGAAATATAAGTAACTCCTGCATCAAATCCACTCTGTACATGCTTTTTATAGAAAGATCGATACACTTTGGCACGCAGAACAGACGTTGAAGACGTTGACCCAGAATTTGACGAGTGGGTCCCCTAAAACTCCCAGTCGCCTTTTAAAAGGGGAGTATGTAAGGTATGTAAGGTATTTCTCCTGCCTTCCTAGTGTGCCTTCGTGGTGTAGTGATCAGCACACTGAGCCGGTATTTCAGAGGTCCGTGGTTCGATTCCCGGCGAAGGCGTTGCTAATTTTTCTTCTCTTCTGCTTCCAAAAATTACCTAATGTCTCTACAAACTGTATGAGGTATCTTACTAACCTGTATATCATATACGAATAAACGCAGGTGCCTTACTAATGCGTATTCATACGCGATTTAATGAGATACATGTGATATACGTGTACTCATGATTTCCTATAAAAAGAAAAATTCTAAAAGAGATACTTATGAATGCCAATAATCATTTACAATAGTTTTGAAACGTATTTTGTTAGTAGTACAATAACAAATATAAGACAATTCAGGGAATTTT